AGGTGCGGGAGCAACACCAAGGGTTGCGATCCTGTTGCCGGTCCTGGTCCGGTACAGGCGGGCGCGACACTGAGGGTTGCGATCCGTTGCCGGACACGGAAAAAGACAAAAAGGAAAAAAAAAAAAAGAACTGAAGCATACAGTTCTGCAAGTTTTGACAAATATACACAGTTATGGAACTCCCCCCATAATCAAGATACATAACAGTCTCTTCCCTCCCCAAATCCCTGTGGCTCCTTTGTAGATAATCTCTTCTCCAGCCCCTGATCTTTTTTCTGTCCCTATAATTTTGTCTTTTCTAAAATGTCCTACAAATGGGAACATACAGTATATAGCCTCTGGAGTCTGGCTTCTTTCACTTAGCGAACGTGTTTGAGATTCATCCACGCTGCTGTGTGTATCAGACATTCACTCTTTCATTGCTGAGTGATGTTCCATTGCGTGGATTGACCCGTTTGTTTATCTATTTACTAGTCGATAGACATTCGAGATGTTTCCAGGTGCTGCTATTTTTATTTCACTCAGGAATGGGGTTGCTGCCTTATATGGTAAGTGATGTTTACTTTTATAAGAAACTGCCTGTTTTCCACCTGTGGCATGTGAGAGTTCCAGATGCACCAAATCCTTATTGGCACCTGGCATTGTTAATTATTTTTATTTATTCATTCCAGAAGGGATTGTACAAGTTTTCTAGGGCTGCCATAATGAAATACCGATGTCGGAGGCAGGGTCCGGGGGGTGCCGATAGTTGGCTTCAATCCACCCAGTCCTTACCAGGTTCTTGACTCTGCCACTGGAAAGAATTCAAGGGCAGAGTCACAGGAGACAGTGAGAACAAGTTTAATATAATAGATAAGAAATACAGATACCACAGAGAGAGTGTGGCCTAGCTCCAGAGACTGAGCAGAGCCCACACCAAGTTTAATAAAAAAGTCAGCTCATGGGCCGGCCCGGTGGCGCACTGGATAGTGTGCCGCTTGGGAAGCGCGGCGGCGCTCCCGCCCGAGGGTTCGGATCCCACATACAGACCGGTTCCCGCTCACTGGCTGAGCGAGGCGCGGGGGCAACACCAAGGGTTGCGATCCCGTTGCCGGTCCCAGTCCGGTACGGGGGCGACACTGAGGGTTGCGATCCGTTGCCGGACACGGAAAAAAGACAAACACACACACACACAAAAAGAAGTCAGCTCAGTACAGGCATAAGTCTAACATGAAAGCAAGAGAAACATACTTAAAGTTCAGTACAAAGTGCAGGTTGGCTCAAGAGAGTGAGCAGCCACCTGCTAAAAGTAAATTTGATACTTAAAGTATACACACCTTAGCCAGCTGCCTGCAGTTGCCTTCAGGAAAGTGAGCAACAAGCCCACCTTTGCCTGGGATTTGGCCTTTATAGTTTCTCTACCTAATGAATAGTCAATTAAGGGGGTGGTCCCCAGTTATATGCACCAGGCACATTCAAGAATATTCTGTGCTCTCTATTGAGCATGCCCAGCCACTGGATTGTATAAACCAGCCCCCTGTGGTCTCATTTTCCCCATGATGGTGCTGAAAATAAGTCTAACTGGCAACAGTAACTTTCCTCCAGGGGAGAGCTCAGAGGAAGGGACCTGAGACCTCAGGGAGTGGCTGGAAACCCAGAGGTGTGTCCTGAAGCCTGAGCCCAGGGAAACTGAGCACCTCCTATATCAATACCACAGAATGGGTAGCTTAAACAATAGAGATTTACTGTCTCACAGTTCTGGAAGTCCAAGATCAGGGCTTGCCAGTTAGCTCTTGGTTGGAGTACAGCCTTATAACACTGAGGTCAAGGGTTCAGTTCCCTGTACCAGCCAGCCACAAAAAAAAAAAAAAAAAAAAGAGAGAGAGAGAAAGATCAGGGTGTCCCCAGGGTTGATTTTCTCTGAGGCATTTCTACTTGGCTTGCAGATGGCTATTGGTCTCCCTATGTCCTCACTCTGTGTGTGTTTGTGTATAATTTCCTCTTCTTATAAGGCCACCAGTCCTATTGGATTAGGGCCCATCCCAATGACCTCATTTTAACTTTATCTCTTTAAAGACTTTATTTCCTATCTTAATCTGTTCAGCCTGCTGTAACAAAATACCACAAACAGGTAGCTTATAAACAACAGAAATTTATTTCTCCCAGTTCTGCAGGACAGAAAATCCAAGATCAAGGCAGATTTGGTGTCTGGTGAGGACCTGCTTTCTGGTTCATAGATGGTATCTTCTTGCTGTGTCTTCACATGGTGGAAGGGACAAGGGAGATCTCTGGGGTCCCTTTTATAAGGGCACTAACCCCATCATGGGGACTCCATCCTCATGACCTAATCAGCTCCCAAATCAGCTCCTAATATTATTACTTTGGGGGTCAGGACATTAACATGATTCTGGGGAGAACACAGTTCAATCCATAACAGGTATGCAGTGACATTTTGTTGTGTGGGGTTTTTTGGCTTTTGGGTTTTTTTGTTTTTGTTTTTGGTGGCTTGCCAGTATGGGGATCTGAACTCTTGACCTTGGTGTTAACAACACCACGCACTTACCAACTGAACTAACCAGCCAGCCTGGCCAGCCAAGCTTTCTGTTATTATAGATTAGCTTTCCTTTTGTATAATTTTGTATGAATGGAATCATACAGTACAGTAGTCACCCCTTATCTTTAAGGATATATTCCAAGACCACTGGTGGATGCCTGAAACCACGGATAGAACCGAACCCGATTGTGTCAGGACATGTGTCTGTTCAGGTCTTTCACCCACAAATGTAAAGCCTTTTCCATCTTAACTAAGCACTTATCCTGCACTGTGACTGTAACTTATGCAGTTTGAGGTACGATAGCAAAACTAGCATGAATTTCTCTTTCCTTCTTTACCATCTCACGGATAGAAGATTCACTCTTACTGTAGATCTTAGCAACCTCAGTATAAGACTAATTTTCTTTCCGGAAGTCAAGAACTTTCACCTTTTCATCTAAGGGAAAACTTTGCAGCTTCTCTTTGGCATCTCCAAATTACCAACATCATTACTCTTGTGCTTTGGGGCTATTATGAAGTAAAATAACAAACAGCGCGGCTATCCTAGGACAGTCAATCTGATAACTGAGAGAGCTACTACGTGATTAACAGGTAGATGACGTAGACAGTGTGGATCCGCTGGACAAAGGGATGATTTGTGGCTCAGGCAGAATGGAGTGGGATGGCCTGAGATTTCAACATTCTACTCAGTGCACAACTGAAAACTTATGAATTATTTATCTCTGGAATTTTCCATTTGATATTTTTGGACTGTAGTTGACTGCAGGTAACTGAAACCTCAGATAAAGGGGAGCACTGTATCCTTTTTTTGTATGAATTTTTCCACCTGTCATGATGCATTACAGTCCTATTCACATTGCTGCATATCCGCCACCCCTTTTTCTATTGCTGAGCCCTATGCCCTTGTGCAGATGGAACACAGTCATTCATTTGTCCACCTTTGGATAGACATTGTTTGTTCTTTCCAGTTTGGGGCCATTACAAATAAAGCTGCAGTAGGGCCGGCCCCGTGGCTCACTCGGGAGAGTGCGGCGCTGGTAGCGCCGATGCTGTGGGTTCAGATCCTATATAGGGATGGCCGGTGCACTCACTGGCTGAGCGTGGTGCTGACCACACCGTGCCGAGGGTAGCGATCCCCTTACCGGTCGGGGAAAAAAACAAACAAATTAACAAAAAAACAGTTAATTTAAGGGGCTGGCCCGTGGCTCACTCAGGAGAGTGCGGTGCTGACGGTGCCAAGGCCACGGGTTCGGATCCCATATAGGGATGGCCGGTTGCTCATTGGGAGAGCGTGGTGCTGACAACACCAAGTCAAGGGTTAGGATCCCCTTACTGGTCATCTTTAAAAAAAAAAAAAAACAAAAAACAAATAAAGCTGCAGTGAACCTTCATGTATGGATCTTCGTGTGGACATATCTTGGGCAAATACCTAGGAGTAGAATGGCTGGGCGTATGTTTAACTTAAGACACTGCCAAATTCTGGATGCTTCTCAGGAGAGAAAGAAAGAAAGAAACTTGCCAAACTATTCCAAAGTGGCTGCACCATTTTACATCCCCACCAAGGTGTATGAGTTCCAGTTACACCACATCTTTGCCAACACTTAATATGGCCAGTCTTTTTAATTTTAGCCATTCCATTGGATGGGAAGTGATAGCCCACTATGGTTTTGATTTGCATTTCCCCAATGGCTAAGGATGTTGAGCATATTTTGCCTTCTCTATATTCTCTATGGCAAAGTGTCTGTTCAAATCCTCTGTTCATTTTTAAATTGGACAATTGCTTTCTTACTATTGAGTTTTGAGCATTCTTTATATATTCTTGATACAACCCCTTTATCAAATGTGGAATTTGCAAGGATTTTCTCCCAGTCTGTGGTTTGTCTTTCTTTCTCTTAACAGGGTCTGTGCAGGACTTTTAGCTGCGAATCTCCACTGCCCCATTCATTCTCCCAGCTACCCTTGAAGGACAGAGATATGCATCACCCTTTTTCCCAAAGAGCAAAGTCTCAGAGAAAGACAGAGCCACTAGGCCTGTTGGTTAAAGTGCAGGGATTCAAACCCAGGTCCTCTTATTCTCAAATCTCACAGATCTCACCCACTGCCACTGGAGAACAGGGGCTGCTACGAGCATTATTCCCTTGGAAATAGTATCTCTGAGGACACAGTGGGATCTGGCCAAAAGACTAAGAATGAATCAGACAAAGCATGAGGGTTCATTCACAACCGATTTATTGGCTGACTCCTCCTGCCAAGCTTTGATAGACATGCAAGAGGATGAAATTGGGGCTTACTGCCCCAGAATCCACCCAACCCCAACCCAGGCATCCCTGGAACAAGGCACTTTCCCAACAGCTGCACAACACCTGGGACCCAAACCTCACCTGAGACTGGGCATGCCCACCCCACCCACCCTCTTAGATGTCCTGCTGACCTAGGCTGAGACGAGGTGGCCGGGAGGGACCCTTCCACTATCATCCCCTTTACTCACCCTGAAGCAAGTCCCTGGCCTGCCCAGTTGCAGCACAAAGCATGGCAAAGAGCAGGCATCAGTATGTTTGTTGAATGACTGAATGAATGGCAATGAAGGACTCCAGCATGAAGGAGGCCTCATGCTTTCTGAGCCTAACTATGAGTACTTGGAGCCCCCAGACAGAGGTGGATCTTGGAACCCCCACCCAGCTGGCTGCATTTCCTTGGTTTAGGGGAAGCCTGAAGCCAAGAATCAGAACAAGCCTTTTGCACCCTCTGAATTTTCAGGCCAGCCCTAGACATGTCTACTGAGGGCCTCCTTTGTGTGGCATAACTTGTGAGGTTCTCTGATCCACAAACACAAATCATCTAAAATGCAAAGCCATTTTCAGTCATAATTTACAAGACCCTGTTCTCCCTTCCTGTGTGGTGCTTCTGAGCGCATAAGGGTTTTTTCATGTGTAGCCTTGCAACAGCCCTTCCATATGGAGGAGGACAAAGGGTCTCTACTATACAGATGGGGAACGTGAGGCTCAGAGAAGGGAGGCCACTTTCCCAGGGATGCCCAGCAGGAGGCAGAACTTTCTGGGCATGGGAGAAGTTCTAGCCACTGAGGTGCCTGGGCAAGAGGAGACTTCAAAATCACAGCATAAGTCTCTCAGTAGGTACTTAGGAAATGTCCATCAAATGAATGAGTCTCAACATGGCTTGAAATTCTTTTGGAGTCAAGACACAATTTTAAAGAAGAAAAAAATAGAACCAAGAATATAGCTGCCAGGATTTTCTGGCTGAAGCCGTTGCTAGGATTCTGTGTGTTACCCCCTCCCAAAAGCTGTGATTCTACAAGGGCCTGGCAGAGAGGGGGGGACTCTCCATTCCTCCCAAAGTCCTTTACCCGCATATCTCATTGAACCCCCACATCAGCCCTGGAGGTTGGGCTGATGGCCCCAATTTGCTGATGGGGAAGTCAAGGCCCAGAGAGGGGAGATCTGATCCCAGGACACCCCCCAGCTCTGAGGGTCTTGGGTCTGGATCCTCTCCCCAGTGCCCCTCAGGGCCCCTGGGCCACCCCCCTAATCTGCCTTCTTGGTCTTCTTCTTCCTGGAGCCCTCACTCAGCTCCTCCTTGGACTTGGTGGGCAGGGCTGAGTGCTGGGTGCCTGGCCCACTGCCACCGTGGGACCCGCCGTGGTTGTTATGGTGATGGTTACTTCCCCAGGCCGTCCCAAACAGCACAGGGCAGATGTACCCCTCCAGGACATCAAATGGGGAGCTATGGGAGTGAGTGGCTGTCAGGAACACCTGAGGTGGGGTGACGGGGGGCACAGCAAGAGAACAGGAGAGAGATCGAGGCAGAAAGCAAAGCAGGAGAGGGAGGAGGAGAACAGGGGAGAGAAGGTCAGTGAGGTCCGGATTGGAGGTAGCCCAGCCCCAGCACTCTGGCTGCATGCACCCCCAGGACAGTGAACAACCATCCCAGGATGCGGGACTTCTGGTGCTAAAGCCTGGATAGCCCCAGGACAACCGGGATTGTTGGTCACCCATCCCCCATGAGTCCCCAGAACACCTGGGCCTAGAGAGGAGCTATGCTCGGTGCTATGGTCTAAATGTTTGCATCTCCCCAAGATTTGTCCATTGAAACCTAACCCCAAATGTGATGGTATCAGGGCATGGGGCTTTTGGGAGGTGATTAGGTCATGAGGGTGCAGCCCTTATGATTGGGATTGGTGCCTTATAGAGAGAGACCCGAGAGCTAGGTAGTCCCTTCCACCATGTGAGGACATCAGCCATCAGTGACTGAGAAGAGGGCCATCACCAGAACCCAACCTTGCTGGCACCCTGACCTTGGACTTCCCAGCCTCCAGAACTGTGAACAATAAATTTCTGTTGCTTATAAGCCACCCAATCTATGGTATTTTGTTATAGCAGTTCAAACAGACTAAGACACCTGACCTGGGGTCACCCTGCAAACAAGACATGAAGGGAGCCAGCCTTCTGCTCCCTTCTGCCCTGATGCAGGGACACTCAAGCTCACTCCCTTCTGACAGTCCTATAATCCCCTCCCAGGGAAGACACAGCCTTGAGCTGGGGCCCTGCATGCCAAGGAGAGCCAGCGGCAGAACTCCCCACCTTTGTGGGACGGAGGAGAGCACAGCCCATGAAGGCACTTCCAAGGTGGGGTGATCCCAGCTCAAGGCCTGACGGTCAGACCAGCCCCATTCCTGGTCCAGCCTGAGCCCCTGGCTACCTGATGATGACTTCCAGCTTCTTGTTCCTCTGGTCTCCACTCCCGAGGCACCAGGCCCATCTCAACCTTTGCTCAGGCTAAGCCTGCTGTCCAGAAAGCCTGTTCCCCTCACCCCTGTCCCCACCTGCTGGACTCTACCTTCTAAAGATCCTCATCCCACGGACCTACTGGAAAGCTCCCCCTGGTCTCTGGGCTGTCCTGTTCTGGATAGATAAACCAGGAGTGTCCACATTCCCTGCCCCAGCCCAGGAGGTACAGGGTGGCCAAGGTAGGAAGGCTACAGGCAGAGAAAAGCTTACCTTACAGGATACCATAAACATGGTGAAGATGAAGATGAGGCTGGCTTTGGACACTGGGAGCCAGCGGGTCTGCTGGAGGGTGAAGAGAATGGCTCCATACAGGCTGGCCTTGGTGGGGCTGCAGGGAGTAGCTGACATTACCAGGAGGCACCTGCATGGCCAGGTCTCTGTACCTCTGGCCACACACCCCACTGCCCTATCCCCAACCCCTATTCCAGCTTCTCATTGTGAGGTGGGAAGATGCATGGTGGTGTGGATGAGGTAGCATCTCCCTGTGCAGTGACAGGTTAACCCAGCTCAAAGAAAGGTCTGGCCTTTGCCCAGCTTCTGGGAGGTGCCCTCTAATCCCTTGGGATGTCCTGCCTGACAAGAGTGTCTTTGTATGCCTAGGGACCTTAGGTCACACCAAGTGGTAACAATGTGATTTATGGTGGAGATCTTCAGCCACATGGCATTGGCTTGACTTCTGGAGACTAGGATCAGCCACGCAGCCATGTCTATGTGATTGAGCCCTAATAAAAACTCTGGACACCAAGGTTCAGGAAGTTTCCCTGGTTGGCAGTACACCATGCATGTTGTCACACATCGTTGCTGGGAAAATTAAGCACTGTCCATGAGACTCTGCTGGCAGAAGACAACTGGAAGCTCATGCCATGTCTCTCCTGGACTGTGCTCCATGCATCTTTTACGTCTGCTGATTTTAATCTGTACCCTTTCATTGTAATAAATGGTGACCCCAAATACAACAGCTTTGCTGATTTCTGTAAGTCCTTGTAGTAAATTATTGGACCTAAGGGTGATTCTGGGGATCCCCCAAACAGTTCACTTCCCAAGCAAGTTTGATTAGAAAGCACAGAGTTTTCCCTCACTTTCCTTTTTTCCCTTGCAGAGTAGGATTACAATATCTTAACTTGTCACAGAAGACAGACCTGTGACTTCTGTTTTTGATGTCTGTTACTCATTGCACATACTTAATGATGAAAATTCTATCTATTATTTCCAAGGACTCACCAGGTACCAGGACCAGGTGGTTTACATCTGTGATTCCATGGAAACCTCATTCTCAGCTGATGAGGTGGAAATACAGTCCGAGACAGGGAGGCACTTGTGCACTTAATAGCTAGCTACATAATGGTGTTTGGCCCCCATTTCCTCATTCATGAACTGAGGGTGGGAAGAGGCTTCTCATGGGGATGAAATGAGATAATGCTATGTTTTCCAAAGTGGGAAATGGGAGGTGATTTTCAATGGCATATGAGCGAGGCTTTTAATTTTATATTTTCGTGACTGTAGCTTGGAGGAAAATTTAACTACAGTCATGTGCTGCACAACAACACTTTGATCAATGATGGACCACATGTATGACAGTGGCCCTGTAAGATTACAATGGAGCTGAAAAAATCCTACCACCTAATAATGTCATAGTCACCATCATTGAAGCCCAACACATTACTCATGTAGGAGCAGTAGGATATACCATATAGCCTGGGTGTGCAATAGGCTATACTGTCTAGGTTTGTGTAAGTACACTCTGTGATGTTTGCACAACAATGAATGATGTTTGTCTAACAATGCATTGCTCAGAACGTATCTCCATTGTTAAGCAACACTTGACTGTAGCCCAACCTGTAAAGACTTTTAAAACATATTAGGCTAAATGCAGTGTGGGATCCTGCATTGGGTCTTGGATCTGCAATCTAGCCTAGCTGCACTCCCCATCCACACTGCATACCCCACACTCTGTATCCCATGTTCCCCACCCACACTCTGTACTCTGACCTTGCAGACCAGGCAACATTGCTGTTCTTTTCTGACTTGGCATAGGTGCTGACCTCTGTCCAGAGGCCCATTTCACTTGTTAAAACCCAAACCAGGTGTCACCTCTTCCCTGCAGCTATGCCTGCCCCTGACTCCCAAGCAGAGCCATGGCTCCCTCTCTGGGTTTCCCCAGCCATAGCCTCTGGAAGCTTCTGAAAGGCAGTTAGGGGCAGAGGCCTCTCCAAGTTACTGGCACTGTCCAACCCAGGGTCAGGCACCTGTACATAAAGGAAGGACAGAGGGAGTGGGCAGGTGAGATACTCACAAGGACATGTGCAGGATCTCATTGGTCTCTGGCTTCCAGACTCCTCGGAGCAGCTGCTCAAAGTTGGACATGAGGGCAACGCCAGAGCCTATGGGAAAGGGCACTTCTGAACAAGCCCACCACCCCCAGTCTCCCTTTCTTCTTTGCTGAATTCCTAAGGAAGCAGCCTCTCTGCTCCTGGAGTCTCCTCTAGAGGGACATTGAGCCTGGTGTGTATGATCATTAGTTGCATGCAGATAGGGAACCTGAGGCTCAGAGAGGACAGAGCCTTGCTGAGGGTGCCATGGCACATTTGGGGAGAAACCAGCATGAAGGAATCACAGTCAGGTCTCCACCTGCAAGGCGGGTCTTAAGCCTGGGGTTGTCTGCCCTGATGCCCCCAGTCCAGAACCCTGAGATGTACATGAGGCTCCAGAATACTCCCCAGCCCCAGCCTCTCTCCTCCTCGAGGCTCTGAGTTCTCAATCTTTCTCAAGCCACCTGCTCTCTGGGAGACATGCCATACCCTTGGAGAATTTGTTCAGTAGTACAGGCTTCCTGGAGAGAGAATAAGGAAACCCATGTGGAGACATAATGGTTAAGTTTGTTAGAATCTTCCCATTTATTCCAAATGTATTGGCTAAAGAGGCTTGGACACCCACTCCAGGAACAGCTGTGCCAACTGGGTGCTTGGTATGTACCACTGGACCAGGGGTTCTCATCTGGAGAATTGCCTCTAAGGAGACATTTGGCAATGTCTAGAGATACTCTTAGCTGTCACAACAGGAGAGAGAGTGTTATTGTCATCTAGTGGGTAGAGGCCAGGCATGTGGTTCAACACCCTAACAAGGCAAAGAATGCTCCTGCAGCAAGGAATGATACAGTTCCAAATGTCAATGGTGGCTCACTGAGCACTGTGGTTCAGTGGAGGGTGATCCTAGGCTCTGGAACATTGGGGGTACCCTCTTTTGGTGGACAGGAAGCAGGGAAGAGATGTCCAGTATTTTTTAGCACTTGCTTAGGCCTACTTTCCCTGCCTCATTGTTACTCCTTAGTCCACTTCTCCAACTGTTAATGCTAAATTGTCTTTCTCCCTTTGCTTCTGTCAGTTTTAGCTTTATGGATTTTGGTGCTCTGTTTTTAGGTGCATATATGTTTATAATTGTTGTATCTTCCTGGTGGATTGACCCTTTTACCATTATAAAATGTCCCTCTTTATTTCTGGTAACATTTTTTGTTTAAGTCTATCTTGGTCTGCCTCTTAGTATAGATGGAGGGAAAATAAAAAGGAGGACTTCAAAATTGTTAAGAGCATGGACACTAAATTCAGAGGGCCTGGAGTCAAGTCCAGATGTACCCCTCAGTTGTGTTTCCTTGGGCAAGTAATCATTTACCTTGTCAGAAAAAGGGGGTGATGCTAGATCTCTCCTAAAGGGGAGTCCTAAGGATTGAATGAGATAAGATGCACAAAGGCCTGAACTGAGATAAGACACACAAAGGCCTCAACTCAAAACCTCCTGTGAGTCAGGAATCTTCACCTAGAGTCCATGAGGCCAGACAGGAAACAGAATTACATCTGCATTTTCATATCCCTCTCACTGAATCCTAGCTTTTCCTCCCATCTTGAAGGGAAGCAATAACATCAGCAGGATTGTCAAGGTTGTCACTGTCACCAACAGAATACATGTATTTTTTTTCTTTTCACATTCCAGTTGTAGATACTTTCACAATACTATTTGTGCTCAACACCACTTCAACAGTCCAACAGTTACTAGGAGCTAGTGGAAAGTCTGCTATTTAACACACTAATAAAGAAGCATGAAATTACTACATTACATTAAAAAAAATTTTGGTAACTGTATTTTAAAAATAAAACACTATCCTATGTGTTTTATTTCATGCACTTAAAAACATTAAATGGCCTGTAGGCTTCACTGGGCTGACGAAAGGGCCATGGTCCACAAAGCTTAAGAACCCCTGAAGTTAGAGATCTAGAGAAGAGGTGCTCAACTGGAGTGATTTTGCTCTCCAGGAGCCATTTGGCAATGTCTGGAGACATTTTTGATTGTCACAGCTGGGGACAATGGTGCTACTGGCATCTAGTGGGTTCAGGCCAGGAATGCTGCTTAACATCCAACAGTGCACATGGCAGCCCCCATCTCAAAGAATGATCCAGCCCCAATGTCAGAAGTGCCACAACTGAGAAACAGTGCTCTAGGGACACTGGCTTTTGTTGTTGTCATAATTGTCTTATTTACCTTTGACAGTTACATTTCCAGAAGAATTGTCCCACTTACTCTAAGGTACCAGCTAATGTGGAGGTATGGACACCCACTCCTATCTTCACATCCCTTATAGTCTGTAGCAATGGCTGTGCCAACTGGGATGCCTGAGATGTACCAAAAGACAATCAGGTTCTCTCAACTGAGGTGATTCGTCATTGTCATTGTCATTGTCCTGTTTACCTTTGACCCACCCAGTGGCAATCATGACGAACCACCCATGGTGGTAGTGGTGATGTGCATGATGGATGCCCACTGCAATCTTGCGGACCCTCACCACCTCCTTCATGGCCACAAAGATGAGTTTCACAGGCAGGAAGCAGATGCACTTGTAGAAAAGGTCCAGGGGACAGAAGAAAATCAAGTACCTTTGGGAAAGAGAAGGCTGAGAGTTGGGAGGAGGGGAAGACTGAAGGGGTCTGGAGATGTGAGGTTGTGTCCAGACCCCCCTAACCTATGTGCCAGACTCAGGACAGAGTTGGGTATGAAGGGCCATGTATCAGGGCCACCATGGTGGTTGTGCTGGTATGGTCCTAGTTCCTCCAACCTCCCACCTCCCACCTCCCCAGTGGCCTTGTAGTCCCTGCCACCCCCACATTGGGCACTGCTTACCAGACAGCTGATGCCAGCAGGATGCTGGAATTGTTGCCGAAGAAGTCAATCAGGGGCTCTCCTAGCAGCAGGTCCGCTAGGATGTAGCTCCCAAAGCAGTGCAGCATGGCACACAGCCAGGATGCCATGGGGTGGCGCCGGGACAGCTCGACTGCTCCTGGGAGGCACGGGAGTATCCCCCACCATCACAGGGTGCCAAGGGTGCACTTTGTCCCCATGCACTCCCATCAGTCCCTCCTGATTGAGCTGCCCTCATCAGAGGACCCACTCAATGCTGCCCAGTTTGTGAATTTCAGAGGAAGAACCGAGGCTCAGAGAGGTGGCGCACATGCCTGAGGGTGCACAGAGAAAATGCAGAGCTGATTGGGTTCTTTCCTCCGTGCTCAGAGTGGTGGCCATAACGATGATGCCAGCTCACATTTAGCAAGCACTCCTAGGTCTCAGACACTGGCAAAGCATGTATAGGAAGGACTCGTTAAATTCTCAAGACAGCCCCAGCTAAATGATGACTCATTGTCTTAGGAGTCTTCTTATTGCCATGAGACTGAGGTTGGGGAGACGGGTCAACCTGTAGCCAGCAACGCTTTGAAGCTGCTACTTGCAGCTCGGATGATACCCAAGGTCCCTGTGAGTTTATGCTGGTATTCTTATGCTCTCTACCTTTTTTATTTTGGGGGGGCTGGCCAGTACAGAGGTGAACCTTGGACCTGGGAGTCATCAGCACCATGCTCTAACCAACTGAGTTAACCAGCCAGCACCCCCCTCTGTCTTTTTTATTTTTATTCTTTTTTTTTTTTTCCGTTTTGTCTTTTTTTCATGACCAGTAATGGGATCGCAACCCTCGGTGTCGCGCCCACACCGCGCTCAACCAGTGAGCAGACCGGTCTCCATATGGGATCCGAACCCTCGGCGGGAGCACTGCCACGCTCCCAAGCAAAGCACTCTACCGAGTGCGCCACCGGGCTGGCCCTATTTTTATTCTTTTTAATGAGGTAAAAAATACATAAAAACTTACCATTTTAACCATTTTTAAGTGTCCAGTTATGTGGCATTAAATGCATTCACACTGTTGTGCAACCATGACCACCATCCATCCCCAAAACTGTTTCATGTACCCAAACTGAAACTCTGTCTGTGTTAAACATTTGCTCCCCATTTTCCCTCCCCCAGCCCCTGGCACCCACCATCCTACTTTGTGTCTCTATGAATGTGACAACTCTAGGCATCTTGGATAAGTGGAATCACACAGTATTGGTTTTATGACTGGCTTATTTCACTTAGCATAATGTCCTCAAGGTTCACCCTGTTGTAGCATGTATCAGGACTTCGTTTCTTTTTTTAAACAGAGTGTAGTTTATTTATACAATGGAATACAGCAAGAAAAATAAATGAACGACAGCCGCACACAACATAGACCAGTCTCAGAAACTTAAAGGTACAAGCTGTAAAAGGATACTTAAAATATGATTCAATGTACATAAAGACAAAATAAAGCTACTGTATATTGTTTAGAGATGTTTATGGATTGTTTAAGGATCACTAAAGAGGGAGGTGTTTGGGGAGAAGCATGCAGGAGACTTCTAAGATATTGGCATTGTTTTTTTCTTCATCTGGGTAGAGGTTTCACAGGTATTCTTTGCTCAAGGGTGTGGGGCTGGCTGGCGGTGGCTGCAGACTGTGGGATGGGTTCAGGTCTGCTCCATGTGTCTCTCTGTTCTCCCTGAACCTGCAGCTACCTGGGAATGTTGGTTCTGGAGGCTGGGAAGTCCTCAGTCCAGGGAACACATCTTGGTGGGTCCCGTGGAAATGGAGGGTATCACATGGCAAGAGAATCCACTTCTTTTTAAGACTGAATAATACTCCACCGTACGGATCTACCATATTGCTTCTGCCCATTCATCCATCAGTGGACACCTGGGTTACTTCCACATTTCAGCTGTGTGTGAATAACGCTGCTACAGACATAGGTGTACAAATATCTATTCAAGTCTCTGCTTTCCATTCATTTGGTTATATAACCAGAAGTTGAATTGCTGGATCGTGAGGTAATTTTATCTTTAACTTTTTGAGGAACTGCCATACTGTTTTCCATAGCAGCTGCTCCATTTTATGTCCCCACCAGCAGTGCACAAAGGCTCCAATTTCTCCACATCCCTACCAGCACTCATTTTCTGTTTTTTAGTAACAGCCATCCTAGTGGGTATGAAGTGGTATCTTATTATGGTTTTGGTTTGCATTTCCCTAATGGTTAGTGATGTCGAGCATCTCTTCTGTGTTTATTCATCACTTGTCTATCTTCTTTGGAGAAATGTCTGCCCAAGCCCATTTTTTTAAAAATTGGGTTGTTTTTGCTCTAGAGTTGTTTCCCCTTCTTCTTATGGAGAATATTCCTTTGCTGTGAAAAGAGCTTTGCTTGGACCCAGGTGGATTGGCAGAGCAGAAAGGAAAAGGCATAAGTATCTATCTGGGGTAGTGCCACCGAGTCAGAGGAAGGCACCAGGTATTGGTACCAACAGGGAAATCACAAGGCATACACAGGTAGGGGAGTCATTGAAGGCAGAATTATATAAACAGGGGAACTAAGGGGGAAGCAGGTAATGACGCCATTCCACACTGGTGGCATGAAAGAAACAAGAAAGCGGGAGCGGAAATAACCAAGCACAAATGCCACCTCTTCCAGGAAGGCTTCCTTGCTTTGCTGAGTTCATCACTCCTGCCTCTGGGTTCCCAGATGGCTGCAGATTCCACCCTATTATAGGTTTGGGTATTTTATTCAATGTTAAAAGGATAACAGAAAGCAGATTAGTGGTTGTTTAGGGTGGAGGAAATTGGGGAGCAGTAGTTACAGCTAAAGGGTATGGGTTTCTTTGCAAGGTGATGGTTGCACAACTCCATATATACTAAAAACAAATGAATGGGATGCTTAAAATGGGTGAATTAGGTGAGGGTATGTGAATTCTATCACAATAAAGCTATTACAAATAAAATAAAAGGATAACAAAGAAAAATGTAACCTTTTCCGCAGTTTCTGCAATACACTAATAAATAATACTAAATCGACTCTTCTTACAAACTCAAGGCAGCAAAATACAAAAGAATGGCCTCGCTTAGCTAACAGAAATACAAAGCTCATCCCTAGAAAAGATGGCTCAAGGGAGAGTGTGGTGCTGATAACACCAAGGCCATGGGTTCGGATCCCTATATAGGAATGGCCGGTTAGCTCACTTAGGAGAGCGTGGTGCTGACAACACCAAGTCAAGGGTTAAGATCCCCTTACCGGTCATCTTTAAAAATAATTAATTAATTAATTAATTAAATAAAAAAAATTTAAAAGATGGCTCAGTGCATCAGTCTCCAACTTGGCTGCACATTGGCATTTATTACCTGGGGACTTTACAAACACCTGATGCCTGGGCCCCATCCCAGAACATCTCAATTGGTAGGTGTGGGGTGTGGCTGGGCTTGTGGATTTTAAAAAATGCTCCCAGATGATTCTTACATGCTGTAAAGTTGAGCATCACTCACAGTAAGAGGAATGAGCTTGCTGGTGTCCAGAAGTCCTGTAGCCTGATAACCCAAGATCTTCCTCTCTATGTCGAGGAGGATGGCTCTCAAGGGCAATGGTTTTCAAACTGTGTTCCTGGGAACCCTGAAGGTTTTTTTTTTTTTTTTTTTAAAGATGACCGGTAAGGGGATCTCAACCCTTGGCTTGGTGTTGTCAACACCATGCTCAGCTAGTGAGCCAACTGGCCATCCCTATATAGGATCCGAACCTGTGGCCTTGGTGTTATCAGCACCACACTCTCCCGAGTGAGCCACGGGCCGGCCTAACCCTGAAGGTTTGTAGGGGTAAAGGAGAGACCAAGTGGGAATGTTCTGGGTCCTCTGCCCCATTTCAACCAGAACACACCTGCATTTACTGCTTCATCTCAGTTTGACACAAAAGTTTGTTTGAAAAAGGGGCTCTGATGTTCAGACAGATACCTGTCTGCACAGCAGCTTTATTTATAAACAAACCTTCAACAGATGAATGAATAAACAAACTGTGGTCCCACCACACCGTGGAAAACTGCATGGCAACGAACAAAAAGGAACTAGTGATACAAGCAGCAATCTGGATGGATCTCGAAGGCATTGTGCTGAGGGAAAACCTCCAATCTCAGAAAGTTACATGCTGTACAATGCAATTTACACTCTCTTAAATGTACATGGAAGTTACATCCTGCATGATGCAATTTATACACTGTCACCTGTACATGAAAGTTGCATTTGTATGATGCAATTTACACACTGTTACTTGTACATGAAAGTAACATGCTGTATGAAGCCATAACACTCTCCAATTGACAAAATCATAATGACGAGTGACAGAAAACAGATTGGTGGTTGCCAGGAGTTAGGTTTGGGGGAGGGTCTAACTTTATAGTCAGGGCAATATGAGGGCCATTCTTTGGGGTGCTGGAAACATTCTGTATCCTAATTGTGCTAAGGTTACTCAAAACTAAATGTACTAAAATTACATTGAACTATGTTTTAAAAAATGCATGTAAAAGCTGCTGAATAAAGTCTGTAGTTGAGTCAACGGTATTACACTGAAGCCAATTTCCTGGTTTTAATAATGAGCTATAGCTTTGTAGGATGTTGTCATTGGGGGAAGCTGGGTGAAAGGTACTTGCAAACTCTCTGCACCATATTTGCAACCTCTTATGAATCATAAACTCTTTCAAAATAAAAAGTATTAAAAAAAAAATCCCACATTTTGGGGTCTGGCTGGTTAGCTCAGTTCATTAGAGCATGGTGCTGATAATACCAAGATCCAGGGTTTGATCCCTGGACGGGCCAGCTGCCAAAAAAAAAAAAAAAAAAAAAAAAAAAATCGACATTAAAAAGAGGAGGGCGCCCTCTAGTTCTTAAAAAATAAGTTCATGAAAACACAACATTATAGGTACAGGATTAATGTCTATTAATCAAATTCTCACACCTCATACTACCCATTTAAAGTTTTTATGATCTTTATCAATGTAATTAGGTTCTATCTTTATGCTGATATTTTCATAATCTAATGCCCCACCCCAGAGTCGGAACCTGGGCGTCCCCTGGTGTGACCGTTTGACGCTTATTTCTTCATATTGATTTCCTCCTCCCTGCCTCGTTTCA